TATTTATGTCAGGTTGCTCGCGGTAGGTAGCAGCTATAACTGTTTGCTTTGGGGGATTAAGAAGTGCATCTAGCTTAGCTTCCAATCGAGATATAACTGAATCCGATACAATTAAGTCTTGGAGCTTAGCAAAAGCTACTGCGACTTGATAATCAGACGGTTGCTTTAATTTAAGAGCATCCCGCAGGTGGGGCTTTAGTCCTTTAATGAATAGGCCTAACTTTGTCTCGTCATCGATGCCTAACTACTGACTAAGTTTATCCAGGGTGTTGGTGTAGGAGGTGAGATCGGTATCCTGTGATAAGCTAAACAGTTCCATTTTCCGGTTCCATGCAATATTTGCATTATTGTAATGTCGCCGGAATTTCTCTTGGAATTCGTGGTAATCGTTTCTAGCAAATGCGGGAAGTGTCTTATAATAAACTAGAGCGCTGCCTTCTAAATAAAGTGGAAACGCTAGTAATTTCCTTTCCTCTGTCCATTGATTGTGCAACGCAATACGCCGAAAACTGGCTAACCATTCAGTAATGTCTTTCACTTCTGTACCCCTGAAAACTTTCGGATGTAGTTCTTGGCACGGTTTTAATACCAAACGTTCTAAAATTTGCTCAAGTGATATGTTGTTCTTCACTTCAGGATGCGTTGGAGAACGACTGGTTTCGGTTTTAAACGGGTCGGTGTCTGACAGTTTTAAGGAGTCGCTAGAATCGGAGGAGGAGTCGTTGAGAGAGGTGTGAGAATTATTGTCTGTATCACCGCAATGAGTTGTTTCAGTAAACAGACAAATTTTCCCTGAGCGAAAACAGCTCATAAGTAAACATTAAAGTCAATATAGCTACGGCTCTGTTTGAGTAATCTGACGTGAATAACAATAACGAAATAAACAAAAGTTAATCTTTACTTACGTAGGTAAATTGATTGGCCCAAGCAGAGGTAGAATCTACTTGTATCCGGGCAGTGCCTCCAAATGTTACATAATAGGTTTCTCTCATGGTTATACGTTACAGGTTTACTCCAAAGTGTTATAAAGTAACTTTATTTAAATAAACATCTTCGTCTCGTTTACCCAAATATAAATAATCAAATATATATAAATACAATTTATATTATTCTCTTAAATAGTTCGTCTTTTAATTAATTAGTCTACTATTGCTTCACTAACTCTTCTGAATGACCATCTACTTCAACCCCGACCTTGTATATCCCCTATATCTATATTCACATACATATACACATCATATCTTGTCTTCTTTGCGTTTTATACGATTTCCCCAGACGCTAGACGCGTTTTGGTTCTTGAACAAATTGTTTAGTTTATACTGTTTATGTTAAATCTTCTTTACGGTTCACCTAACCCAAGCATTCTGCTTGAATGGTTAGTAACCTTCGTAACATATATACAACCCAAGAAATAAGGGTTCGGCAATGCCGACCTAACTGCCGAGCTTAAAGTGTTTGAGGTCAGCAAAAAATTATTGACCTTGTTTCAATGTTTTATGGTAAGACCTTTGTATCAAATTTTTTTTACCGACCTCTAAAAGATTGAGGTCAATTTATTGCTGACCTCATTTTTCCTAATTCCGAGGATTGTATACATATATATATGTGTATATATATATATACAATATTATATATACAATATTATGTGTGTGTGTGTGTGTATATATAAATATTTGATACAAAAGTTTTATCATAAATCATAGAAATGAGGATTGGTGATTTTTTGTCAACCTCAAACACTTTTAGGTTGGCAGTTAGGTCAGCATTGCAGAATCTATATTTATATAACATAACATATAGCATTGATTAAAACAAAGTGCGCCACTACTACTTACTTAAGTATAAATATATTTGATCTCTATTGCATTGATTATGTAAAAAAAAGTTATATTTTAAAGTGATAGTCCTTGCACTCAGTTTATACAAATTCAAATAAATACATGGCCAAATTCATACATCATTGTTCTGTGAAATATCATTTTTAAAGTATAGAGGATTTTTCTGCTAATTTTTTTGGTACAAAACCTAAGTTACGTTAATCTACACTGATGATATTATTCTAAGGTATTTCTAAAGTATAATCTATTAATTATAAGTATATTAATCTAAGTCTTTTACTTCTTTAATTTGGTTAGCTTTTATAACTGATTAAATTGAAGCAAAAGTCATTAAAAATATTACCAAAATGCATTTCTGGCAGGTAAAAAATGGAATGTTTTTGGTTTCAAATTGTAAAGGGGTTGTAAAACAATTTTGAAACTAATATTTTTACTTTTTTGAAATAATTATTTTTTAAACCTATGTTGGAAGCAGAGAGCATTAAGAGTGTTAACCATTAAAAATTTAGTAAAGTAATAAGGTATAAATAAATAAATCAGTCAGCCTTTGGTTGTCAATTCCAATTTAACAAATCAAAAAATCATGACCGAGAACTTTAATAATGTTAAATAATCATTTTATATAAAGATTATTAGTTTAAATTTTACGGTTTAAACAAAGAAATTAAAAGTACATATTTTTATAGATTTTTTCTAATAAACTTTTTTAATTTGTGTTTTTATAAATTGTTTTATTTTTAATTTGTGTTTTTATAAATTTAATATTTTTTAAAATTTTATAAAATTTCACTTATTTTGAGACCCAACATGATATACTTTTGAAAAAAAGTATACCATGTTGGGTCTTGATAATATTAATATTTTTTTCTTGATGACATTAGGGGCCCGTCTGATGTTTTAGAGACTATTGCTACCCCTAAAAAAATTTTTTTTCAAAGATTTTTCAACTCTAGTATTATGTTATTATATAGAACACATTTAGGGTTATGGAGTCTGCATTTTAAATAATGTGTAAAACTTGGACCACCCTAATATATATATACATATATATATACATATATATATATATATATATATATATATATATATATATATATATATATATATATATATATATATATATATATATATATATATATATATATATATATATATATATATATATATATATATATATATATATACACACACACACACACACACACACATAAAAATAATTTTAAATATATTCTACATAATAGAACCCTCAATGTTCTTGAAAAAAAGGAACAATAATAAATTAGTAAAAGACTTAATATAGTGAAAAAACCATTTATGAAATTTTTTTCATTTTACACTGTTTCATCTATAAAGACGTATCAGAAAAAATGATCAAATTAATAAAACTTTAGTTTTAACCAAAAAATAAATTACAGGAAGTCATGTCTTAACTCAACCGTCGGAATGTGGTCGGAATGTGGAATGTAGTCGGCAATAATTTGTCGATCTCAATCTTTTAGAGGTCAGCATAAAAAATATGCAACAAGGGTTTTAGCATAAAACATAAAAAACAAGGTCGGCGACTTTTTACTTCAAATACTTAAAGGTGAGCATTTATTTTCCACAAATGTGTTAAAATTTACAGTAGTTAAGCACCCTAATTCCAAGGGGTGCTTATCTACTGTAAATTTTAAAACATTTGTGGAATATGTTGACACTATTATAAAAAGACAGAATATGCATTATTTAGGAATATTATTATATGCGGGTGCTGTTTTAAGAATGGACTAATTTGAAATAAAATCATCAATATTTTTATTTTTTAATTCCCACATGTGTTTTGACAGCATGGTTCTTTTGAATACTTTTTATTTTTTAAGGATTGCTTATGATTGGCAAAACTTTTTTTTTCTGTTTACCCTCTATTAAGCCAATAAATTGTTTATCAGGTACATGCTATTGATATCAAACTATACAACTCATTTAGGGGTATGGATTATAGCCATGATCTAGCTGTTACCATCAACAAAGTTTGGTAAGAAAAATAGCCATTAGAAGTTGCCAGCAGCAAGTGTTTTACACTTAAAATAGCACCTTCTTCATTTTGTAAATATATATACTTCAATTATAAAATAGGATTCCATAATTTAACTTGCTCTTTAAAGTGTGGGCTAGAGATTCATAAATATTTTTTCACTCTCAGAGTTGTTTATATTTAGAATAACTTGCCATAAATATCAAGAGCTTTAAAATAAAAATTAACATCAATTTTAAAACACTTTTCTTAACTACATTTTGTTTAACAGTTTTTCTTTTTGTCATTGTGACATTTTATTTCTTACTTTTGTAATCTTCCTAGTTAATTTATTATATCATTGTGTGGCAGGGTGTTCTACATATTTTTGGATCTGTGTGCCCTGTAGAACATGTATTACAGTTCTAATAAATTTTAATCTAATCAAAAATCAAAACTTTTCTATGCGGTCAAAATACTTTCAAAATGATGTTAATAAAAGACTTTACTTTTCTAAAAAGTTTTATAATTAAATCTTTGAAAAAAAAAATGTATTTTTATTAGTAAAATAAAATTATGAATAGTTTAAATAGTTAAAGTTATAGTTCCCGCCAAATTTAAGTTCTGTTTTTTTAATTTTTAATTCCAAATTACCATTGATGCTGATTTATAAGCATAAAAATATTTTTTAATAAAAAAAAAAAAGAATCTGATTCAAGCTTTCAAATGTTTTGTACAAAAACATATATCATTTAATAGACATAACTTTATAATGCCTGGATTATCTACTGTTCACTTAACATTACAAAAATATTTTTCAAAACAAAATATTGTTTAATAGCTAACTGTAGTGTGATAAAAATTATTCATTGCTACATTTTTATATACTCTGCTAAACATATGACCTTCATTTGAAATTTATTACATTTTTAAGGCAACTATGTCAGTACTAATATAAGCCAGTTCTTTTTACAATGCAATGTAATACTAATTAGTTTAAGTTATATATGGTACCTAATGATAAAAATATATGTATTTTTATCATTATTATTATATTTATTAGTTAAAAATTATATATTATTATATAATATTATATAAATTATGTAACATTTGTCCAAAAAAAAAAAAATTCAGAATTTAATATCTTTAAAAAAATTTAAATTACTTACAAGTTTCACATTGAACCCATATTGTTGAAACTTGTTCAATATTACTTTTCTTGAATATGAGCTGTTGTTAGTAATGAATAACAAATTCTTATTCTAAAAAAACATAAAACTAAAAATATTTTAAAACAACATATTTCTTTGTGCCTTGTTCATCAAGACTCATGTTTTGGAAATAATAAAGTTATCAATGATATCATAAAGATATCAATGATAAACAAAAAACTATGAAAAAATATATCAGCAAAAAGTGAGCAAAAAACTGCATAATTATTGAAAGCTAAAAAAAATTTATTTCAAAAACATTAAAAAAAAAGCAAGAAAAATTGTGTGTGTGTGTGTTTGCTCAAGAGCACAGACAATTACTATATTTGAGCAGGAGGCAGAAGGGCATGAGAAGGGCATACAAGTTAAAATCATTTATTTTTTATGAAACTTTTTTTTAATTTATAGCAATAAAAATATAATAATAGAAATAATTGTATTCTAAGAATAATTTAAAGGTAAATAATTTAACCATTTAAAATTTTATAAAGTCAAAAAAGAGTAACTTTATGGAAATATGACAAAAATACTATTAGAAACATAGTTTTATTTTTTAAATTAGTTTTTAATATAAGATTAGCTTTTATTAATGGAGTAGAAATAAATTAATTTCATTTTTAACTTTCTCATTCAGTTAAAAATATATTTCTATTACATAGATTATCCTGGCCATATTATAAAAATCCAGAAACTTTTTTTCCTTAAATATCCGGAAAAATTCGGAAAATATTTTTGTAATATCCGGAAAAAATCTGGAATTTACAAAGAGATGTTAACAAGGAGGGAGGGGGGCGTGCTTTCGTCCATTCTTTTATATTACTATAATATTACGCCAGTTTAAGAGTATCCTTATTCACCGTATATATGAATAAAAAACTACATAGTTTTTTCATCAAAAAAAGAATAATAATAATGATAAAATTTTAACAATAATAATAAGAAGAAGAAGATAAAGTCAAAGAAGAAGTAGAAAACTATATTTAAAAGCTGTTAAACAATGGAGAAACTTTTTTAGACATGCACTTATACATTTAAATACATAATGGATTATGAAATATTGCTTTAATTCACCAAAGATATACAAATAGATAAACGTTTAATGCGTTGTTAGAGATCAGAGGCGCCACCATAACTGAAATCCCATGGGCGTTATTTGAGCGTTTTGGTTTTTTTGTAGTAATTTTGAAAAATAAACCGAAATATATCCGAGACTTTTGCTTGCCAACTTCTTTCAGTAAATATTTTATTACCTGTAAAACACAATCTTTTGGAAAATATAAATGAATTTTATTTTAACTATTTTCGGAGCATACTTCAATCGCAGTAAAAAGAAAGGAACTAATAATAATAATAAACACCAGACTTCTAAATTACAAAAAATTAGAAATCTTTAGTAATAAATATGTTAAAAAAGAAAATAAATAAATAAAAGTAAAAAGATATTGAATTATTTTTCTGTAATCAGTTAGTTTTCTCCAATTAGTTCTTCCACTCAGTGTTTAAAATGTTTTAAACTTAATTTACAATAGAAAGTCTTCTTTTATAAAAAAATCTCCATGTTCATTAACTAAAAGTTTAAACGTTCGTTAGATATAGTTTAAAATTTAAGTTTATTTTAACTATGATAAACAGAAGGTGAGGCATTATTAATGATTCACGTGATCATTCATGTGATTTAAAATTTAAAAGATTTAACAAAATGATTTTTTTTAAATCGTCTAAATTTAAAAAAAAAACATATTTTTAAATCTTTTTAAAAAAATGATTTTTTTTTAGAAAATATGATTAATTTTAACAGGAGCTTTTTAAATTGAAAAGAAAACATGCCTCAAAATGCGATGTTTTTAAAAACCTAGTAATGGCATTTAAAAGCAATTTGATTCACTTGACCTTTAGTCAAAGTACATTTTTCAGTCCAACATAGTAACTACCATAATATCTATAAATGATCACTAAAAAAGGTTTACTCTAATACATGGGGTGACTTTAGCCCGGGCCAATGTCACCCTATGTAGTGGGCCAAAGACAACTTATTTTTTTTTAACCTCAATTACAAAAAAGTAATAAACTGCTAAGCTTTCAAAACAAGATAGAATCAAAATCTAATGGTTTTTAAATTGAAAAGAAAACGTGCCTCAAAATGCGATGTTTTTAAAAACCTAGTAATGGCATTTAAAAGCAATTTGATTCACTTGACCTTTGGTCAAAGTACATATGTTTAGATTTCTTTAAAATAATTACATAGAATAAACTCCTTATAGTTTAGAATATAGTTTTATTATATAACACTTATTTGTATGAAATAACTTATTACTAACAAAGTAATTAATCTTAGTCAGTAATAATAAGTTTTTTTTATAAGTTTTTTCACCCTTTACGAAAACAAGTTGTACCGCACGAATATAATGTTACACCACGGTATTATAGTAACTGTAAGATTAATAGAAGTTTCTACTAGTTGAAGGTCATACTAAATTTCTTATTCGTAGATCGAACTATTTTGTTTCACTGCTCTCTAGAATTAGATTTTACTAATCTCAAAAGATTTTAAATTTAACGATATTTCTCATATTTGAAGGAAATCAAAAACTGATTTCTCTCATAGCTTTTATTTACGAGTACCGTTTATTCTACCATCGTCATAACTTTTTGAATACCATCGTCAAAACTTTTTAAAGTCTCCAATTAATAAGAAATTATGCAAAAAAATGATACTTTCAAGAAGTGTGTACGAAAAGAGACTTGCAATGGTACGACTGGACAGAAAACGAAATAATGATGCAGTAAATTTTGAACCACCAACAAACAAACTGAAAAAAGTTTTAGTCTATAAGCGAAGTGATTTACTTAAAAAAAAAAATTTTTAACAATAAAAAAAGAAATCTCTTTGCTAATAGCTAAAAGAGCTACCGTAAGATTGGGTGGCTTTGGCCCATTTTGCATCTTAATGTCTATTGCATGAAAGCCACAAAAGTTATTTCCTCAAACACAAAGTACTTTTAGAAGTGCATAGAAAAGACAGTTATGCGGTAGTGGTGTAGTGGTAGAGCGCTCGCTTCATAAACGAGTGGTTCCAAGTTCGATCCCCACCACGTCCCTGGTAGTACCGCGCTCAACTCGTTTCTCTGCGCAGCGGCCTTGTTCGTCAAGGTTCGTGTTTCGGAGTTATAGAGTTGAGAGAGGGTTATAGCCACAAAATAAGTAGCCTCCTCGTCTGTAGTGGCCTTCTCGGCCTTGAGGAGGTGAAGTATAATAAAAAAAAAATAAAATAAAAAGTTAGAACTATCTGTCTCCCATTTGAAAATTATTTACCTGAAGTATCTTTTGGGTGGTTTAAATGGTAGACCAAAGTCGCCCTATGTGTTAGGGTGACTTTGGCCCAACCCTGTAAAAAGGAACTAAAGGAAGCAAAACAACAATAAAAACAGCAATATTTAAGCAAAGAAAATTGATTTACATAAATAAAGTGACAAAAAAAGATTTAGTAACAAAGTTCTTGTGTACAGTAAATAAAATATAGGTACAAACTAAACAAGTATAGGTACCAAGTAAACCAAGCAGTTTAGGTATAAAGTAAACAAAAATGACAAAAACAATGTTTTGAAAAATTTAGTGAAAAAGTTCTGGAACTGAATAAATCCCTCTTTTCGAAAATTTCTTTGGTTCCTCAATAAAATCGACTATTTCAGACTGGGGAAAAAAAAGTTGCTCTGCTGGTAGTGACCATTTCCAGTTAAGTCCACATTTTTTCATAATAGTAATTTCTGCTCCATTTTTTCTTAATTTTTTCAACTGCAGAAAAAAAAATTTTGAAAGTTTTTTTAAAATTTTTCAGTAGTTTTATTAAATAATATTAGTTATTAAATTAATTAGTTATAAAGTTTACTAATTGATTAGCTAAATATAAATAACTCAAAATAAATAAACAAACCTGTCCAGAATTTAACTCTCCATTGCATTTAACAATTACATAACAATTCTCTACAAGATTAATTAATTTCTCCTTTTTACAAACATTTTTTGTTTTATCAATACTTTGAAAGTTCTTTTTGCCAAATGCTGAATGGTCTAAAGATTCTGTATGACTTTCTACAACTAAACTTACATCTGCAAAAATTAGATTAGAACTCTCAGTAGTTCCAGTATTTGTACTTGGGCCAGCAAAATCAATGTTGTTGGTCTCAATTGTATTTATAATACTGATAGGTGTATCTACATTATTTAAATTTAATCTATTATTTTCATTTATTACACACAATGATATATCTGTTGAACATAAGCTTTTACCTGGGACAGCACATACTTTACGTCGCTTTGGTTTTTTAGAACCATCTGAGGGATCATCCAGTGACTTACATAAGTGATCTAAAAATGATTGGCTTACTAAATCAGTAGTTGAGCCTAAACCTGCATTACAACATGGTAGTTGTGAAAGCACTTGAGACTTGTCTAATGGAAAAATTCCAGTTTTGCAAAAACCAGCACTAAGGTTATCATTCCCATGTTCATTTAAGTTGGTAATTAAACGGTGTAAAAGTCTAGGAAATTCATCTTTGGGAAGAGAAGCAACTCTCCTTCCTTTTCCTTTCTCCTGCAATTCACATAATATTTTGCGCAGTTAATCTTCATAGGTCTAAAGTAGGCAACATCTAGAGGCTGCGTGAGATGTGTAGAGTTTGCTGGTAATGCCGCAAATCCTATGTTATTGCTTTGACATGCATCCAGTATTGCAATGCTCAAATGTGAAGATACGTTATCACCTATAATGACACTTTTTCCTTGAGCCTTATTAAGTCTTGGAAGAAGTAAAGAGAAAAACCAGTCCTCAAAACATGTTGAGTCAAACCAACCACTTTTTGATCTGTTATAACTTGCTTTTGGTGGCCCATTTTCTATCCATGTATTCCATAACGACTCAGCTTTGTAAACAATATAAGATGGTAGCAATTCACCATTAGCATTACCGCAAAACATTACAGAGAATGAGGTCTTTGTAAAATTAATGATGCGTTCAGGATACTTACATCCACGCTTTGTTAATATTTTTTTTT